TAGTAAAAGCGATCACAATGACATTAGCATTGCCAATAAATTTAATTAGAAAAATGTGACTTACACGACACATTCACAGGAAAAATGCCCAACTGAATATCTTTAGTTAGATATTTGAGTAGTATGTAATACTAGCAGTAGAGTCCAGCGCTGCCCGGGGATGTAACAGTAAGAGATAGATCAATTATCGACCATCATAAAGACTGAAAAATAAAATTGACAAAGATTATTGTTTAAGTTTGATGGACACGCATGTCTTAATTAGTTTTCTTTTTCTTTCTTTTTTTTGTTTTTTTGTTTTTTTTTATGAATTGGTCAAACCCAAACTCAAACAAAACATTGTTTTCAATCGTTATGAGTCTATCGATTGAATAGAATTTTATAAAAACAATTGTCTTGTAAATGGAATTTTAAAGCATTCTGTATGTAAAATAAAAAAAAAAGTGCAAGACAATAAGAAAAAAATTTTAAAAAAAGTGAAGTTTTGTTGAAATCAGTTGAAAAATGTAGGAAATTCCATCCTATATATAAACGAACACACACACACACACACACACACACACACACACACACACACACACACACACACACACACACACACACACACACACTGGGTTTTTATAATAAGTATAACTCGATATGAGTTGTCCCCCTTTCATTCTGACGACAAAACCGTGTTTTATCGTGTTTTCAAATGGATTTCGTGCAAAAACAATATATAAACGTACACACACACACACACACACACACACACACACACACACACACACACACACACACACACACACACACACAATCTGCGTTTTATAATAAGGAAGATTATCTGAAAACTGCGATATATTACGGGGAAGAAGAAAAATTATATGGCTAGGTTTGAACTGCTGCAATTCGTAGACTAATTAGTAAGATCCCGAGCTGCATAGTCTGGGAATAAGTCATCTGACATCTAGCTTCACGAAAGGGTCTTCCCGATTTGTGCTACTTGATACCGGCCAGAGTAGCAAGTATAAAAGCAACTGAAATTAAAATGAATGAAATACAAGTTAAAAATTAGGATAAGCTATTTTCCTCTTTCTAAGCAACGTGTAAAAAAAACAACTTTATAGGGCTATGTTCCGTTTATAAAATTTACAATTGATATCTTTTCTCTCGTTAGCGTCATTATTTGCCTCGTACTTTCGTCTCTTTCTCCTCGTGATTTACTATTATTTTTATCCTCACCATGTAGGTCTTTAACGATTTTTTACTCATGAGTCAAAACGTGTTTTAATTGATGCGAGCTTACCAACAAAATAATAATTATAAGTGCAGACATCAATTTTTTAATTTGACTATTCCCATTAAATGCAATATAGAGTTACTGTCTGGGGATATTTGTGGCAATTGATACAAAAGTGGGAACTGAAATCGTAAATGTTTGCTAATTCTGAACTAGAAACTGATGCCTGTTTCTGAATCTTGAAATGCTAACACTTTTTATTATTATTTTAACTGATTTCATCTGCAGTTCGATATGCCGTTTCAGTTTTGAACAGAAGTGCATGTTGTACTCATGGTCTTTTTGCTATTTCGCTTTTTATATAATGCATCAACGTTACCGGTTTGAAAAATACAATTCCTGTGTCAAAAATCGATATGTTCAGAAAACAACAGGGTCTATATCCTATTTGTCTTCTGTCAGTCCTTATATAATGTATCAACTTCCTGAATTTGAGTGCTATATGTCTACGCGACAACAAACGACTTTCTTAAAAAAGAAGCATATATTTTTTTTTGTTTTTGCACGTTTGCTTTCATGTTGACATTTTTGTTCAGCTCTTTATCAATGGTCATGTCAGACTTCAGCATGCACCCAAAATATGGCTGTCACTAGTTTACCGGAAAGTAGAAGCGACAGCGACCTATTGGGAGCTAAATCGGAAGTAAATCAAATGTGTTGAATCTATGGCTTTTCCATATTGATCCCCAAAGTCGTGGCAACAAAAGACGATTGATTTCCCGCCTTTTGCCTTGCTGTCATGACAAATGGAAGACATTTTGAACGCAGATAAGACTGCATTTTACATCTAAAAGAGCATACTGATATACATGCTTATATGTATATCTTAAAATTTCAACAAGTATATTTGCGTATCGACACTAAAGCAGATGTGTCTGGAAAGCTAAAAAAGCAACCAGAACTTCTTGCATAAAATTTGAATATGAATTTCTTAAGTTTGTTTCTCACAGAATTTTTCCTTCCTTTAATTATTTTAAGGTATAGAAATGATATTAAGCGTGGAATATAAATTTTATCAATATTAAATTCAAATGAACATGTTTTTATTTTGTTCTGTTACACTAAATTATATTGCACTTTGAAATTTCGTATGATTTTGTTACAATAAATAATTTTACATTTTTTTCCAAATCTATATCTATATATACATATATGTCTGTAATTATCTATCTATCTATCTATCTATCTATCTATCTCTCTCTCTCTCTCTCTCTCTAAATATATCTATATATATATATATATATATATATATATATATATCAGGTCATCCCATAAGTTCTGTCCGAATTTTGAATAAAGAAAACAAGTGACCAAAATGTTACATTTAATTACAGATTCAATCAACAAAGTATTTTCCCTGATTATCTATGACTTCCTTCCATCTATTAACAAGCTTACTAATTCCATTACTCTAAAATTCTTTTGGCTTTGATTCGAAGAACTCGCAAATGTCATTTTTAACATCTTCCTGTTACAAAAGCTGTTTCTTCCAAATGATTCTGTCAGCGACGAAACAAATGGTAGTCTGAAGGAGCAAGATCGGGAGAATAAGGTGGATGAGGAATTTCCTCCCAACCAAGTTCTTCGATCTTTTGTGACGTGATTCTTACTGTGTGAAGTCGCGCATTGTCCTGATGAAACATCACCCCTTTTCGATTCACTAGAGCTGGTCTTTTTTTCCTCAAAGCTTGGTTCAAACGCTCTAATTGCTGACATTATATTTGAGCATTAATTGTTGCATTAGGTGGTAAGAATTCAAAGTGGATTATTCCTTGGCGATCCCACCAGATTGAAAGAAGAACCTTTTGCCCATGAAGTTCCCTTCTTGGCTGTGGCTGGGGTTTTTCCCCTTTACCAAGCCACTGTCTACGACGCTTAACATTTCGATAAAAGATCCATTTTTCGTCGCCAGTCACAAGTCTATCCAAAAAAGGTGAAACAAGTTGGCGAGAATTGAGAGAAGAGCAGATGTCACCTCGGGATTTGAGGATGTTTTCAGACAATTCATGAGGCACCTATTTTCCAAGTTTAGGAACTTTTCCAAGTTGTTGAAGATGAAGCTGAACAGTTGTATGGTTTGAACTGAGAACCACTGCCAATTCCTCAACTGATAAACAGGATTTTCATCAAGGGCTGCTTCATCTTCATCTTCAACGGTGAAATCTCCACCTCTGAATTTTGCAAACCATCTTCTGCAAGTTCTTTCATTCACACATTCCTCTCCATAAACTGAGTGAATGTTTCTAGCCGCTTCGCCTGCTGAGTTTCCTTTCTTGAACTCATAAAGCATTATGTGCCTCAAATGATTCTTAGGTCAGCAGGGTTTTAATCAAAGAAAATTTAATTTTATTGTTCTCTGAAATAAAATTTGATCAGTTTAAATGCATCTAAACATAAAAATAATGTTCAGCTCCATTAGACATTATAAAATACTCTTTAAATTTCGTTCATTTTAACAAAAATTAAAATTCGGACAGAACTTATGGGATGACCTGATATATATATATATATATATATATATATATATATATATATATATATAGAGAGAGAGAGAGAGAGAGAGGGGATCCAAACATAAGAGATAACCTAACGTAATTTTACGCAGTATGCGACCAATTTTTACATTCTTATTTCTCTTTCAGACATATTAAGAGCCTTAACATCATTAAGTATTAAGTCACAGAAAATGAAAAGGAACGCCATATTCCTGTTACAAGCCATCAACCATAGCCCTTTGGGAATTGACCAGATGAACAGGTTTTGAAGTACATTTGGCTAGCGATGACACCATGGAGGTGACCGCAGTGATGCACATTATGTTCACAATATTTATAATGGACTTAGGGTTCGGGAGGCAATGAGTACCGTTTCATTTCAGGGCTTCAGCCTTAATGCCACCATCATATCCCGCTCCACAGTATTGGTACTGGATATTGTGTTTAAACACTGGTTCGATGTGGTGGCAGTACGTATTCCAGAAGGACTCTATCCTATATGACCCGTGTGACTGAGGAGAGGGTTGCCGAAAAATGTCGCGATGTTACTCCTAGTTTTCCTGATCTGAAGCCATAGGCCTGCTATACTCAAGGGTATCGATAAAAGACTGCCATCCTAATGACCAACATAAGCGAACACAATCTGATCGAGGCTCGCAATCACTTTTGTGACTTTTGAGACTTTTGCATAGAAGTCGCCTGGACGATATATTGAATAAAATATATCTGTTTTCCTAAGTTGAACACTGTAAAATATTTTTGAAAATATACTGTTTTTTTTCTATTGAATATATTTTTATTTATTTTTTATTATAATTTATAATTTATTGTCAGATACATGGCGCACTTCCTTACTCACACACACTGACAAAACACAAAAATATATATATATATATATATATATATATATATATATATATATATATATATATATATATATACATTGCATATATGTAGATGTGAGCATGTGTGTATGTATTTATATGTTTCTGTTGTTTAGTTCTTGAGGAATAATAATGACCAATGGTTAGGCAATGAAGATGTCAGGTGATGTATTTGTCAAACCTTGCAGACAAATAGATAAATGAGCAATGCAGAATCATAGGTGGAGAACAGGAAGGAATAACATTCATTTTTCGAAATTATAATCTCTTCAATGCGATAACACTGCTGTCTTGATGGCTGCGAGATTACGCGAAAGTTGCAAATGTGATTGTTAAATATTTATGTTCGTACCAGCCAATAATTTTCGTCTTTCTGTAGCAACCACTGACTACCCTCGAACTCTGATCTATCTTCTTGACTGTGTCATTATGGTAGTAGTAGGATGCGATAATAGCTGGGTCTTTTCCTATTCTTCATGCTATTTAACCTCCGCCTTACGACCATCTCGGTATCATCAAAAATATATGTAGCTGGTTGTAGTTTGTAAATGATGTGACATAATATCATTGCTTTACGTATTGGGATTTTTTTATTTTTAATTACTGGATTTTCCTTCTTTCTTTCTTTCTTTCTTTCTTTCTTTCTTTCTTTCTTTCTTTCTTATCCTAGCGAACATAGTTTTGTTGGTTTGTTTGCCCAAACAATGCATCATTGCCTCTTCTGATAAATGAAGCGAATTCGTCTTCAATGTCCGATTTTCTCGTTTTCAAAACTTAGTTATCAATAATCTATCTCTTTCATAACCAAGGGCTGATGGGAAGGCGATGGTATAATACTAGAGCACAAGAGAAAATCAGATTTCACATCGACGGGGAGGAGAAGAACAAGAACAGAAGAAAACTTATGAATACCATCTAATCACCGTAATAATCTTATTTGGGATGAACAATAAAAATGTGGAAGCCATTTTGAAGATACAATAAATAATATCTTCAGCGTTTTACTTGGTGATAATAAAACTACTGATAATGTGCCATTAATAATAATAATAATAATAATAATAATAATAATAGCGACAACGACAAAATGTAGCTACAGCAACAATAACAACAACATAAATAACAATAATAATTTGTGTTTTTGAGATTTCAATGAATCGACCAAAGAGTGGATGTACCTTTCCTAAGGAACGACAACAGAATATAAAACCAATGCTAAGCTAAATAAAAATGAGCTTAGTTTAATCAATTTCTATGTGATCTTTTATTATAAGTTAAATTATTCATTTTGTGAACAGTATACATCATTCCTAGTATCTGAACCTAGGAGAACATTTTCGAGGTTTTGATTGGGTAAGAGAGGGTGATTTGCAGTTTCATGAATGTTTATAAAATATACCTATGTACAGAGAAAGAAATACAGGTACTAACAAATCACACACACACACAAACACGCACACACACACACACACACACACACACACACACACACACACACACACACACACATATATATATATATATATATATATATATATATATAATAGTTAATGGTTGATCAGAGTTGAATTAGACCAGGAAACAGTAGCATTAAAAAAGTGCTCAATACACATATAAGAAGATAAAAATTTAACATGTAGAGCTTTTAAGTATAAGAAAATTAGGAAATCAGCCAATTCCGCTACCTTGGTTTCAACCTTTTGGTATCTTCAGGCGATTTTGATCAATTGATTTCCTAACGCCTTATTTTTTAATAATAATAATAATAACAAAATTATGAACGCTATATTCTCCAAAAAATAAATATATGAATAAGCGCACGACGTGAGGTGTGCTAGAAGGTGATGATCAGGAAGAGGTGGAGGAGGGGGGAAATCAAGGGTATTGGAAATGTGTCGGTGGGGAATTAAATGAGTTCATTTGAAGTTGGATAAAAAGAACGTACGTATATTTCATTTAATCCCATTCGTACATCTGCAACAGCCAGTTTTGCGAAAGATCATTCGCAATTTAGATAAAAAAGAATAAAAACACACACACACACACACACACACACACACACACACACACACACACACACACACACACACACACATGTGCACACACATGTATGTATGATAAAAAGTTATTATTAAATAATTTAAAAAAATAAAAGCATAAAACTTTATCATCAGTCACCAGCGATATCAAAACTACGTAAGAACATTATGAATTCAAGTATCCATAAGGTACTGACGAAAACAAAATTATAAATAATTATGGCACACTATCACTCGTCTGTCAAAACGAATGACCCTTTGATAAGAGAATTCTATACGGACACATTTAAACCAGCATGGAATTCTTCCAAAAACAATACACAACATACTTGTCGAGAGCATAAAAGGGACACTTACCGCCAGCTACAAAAATCAATTAAAATGGTGGAAACACTTATTAAAAAAAAACCCTCAATAACATCAAATATAATCATGCCCAAATCTGCTTGCTGTATTCAGGAAGATGTCTACTGTTCAGTAACTTTAAATCTGTCTACAATAGCACACCCATTTAGTACCGCAGTATAAAAATTCTTGAAAATGGCTAATAGATTAGCCGAAAGTGCTTAGAATCAAAAACATAATGAAAACTTAACAAAAAAGTACTTTGTCAATCTGAACAAAACATAAATTAAAGAGGATTTCTGCCCAAATACACAATTCAGTTATATATATATATATATATATATATATATATATATATATATATATATATATATATATATATGGAACTAGTTAATCACATCAAAACAAGGACAAAAGTCCATATGAACAAATGTCCACAAATCCTTAATTTTGAGTTACTAAGTTTAAGGCAAGTTTACGGTAGATGGCGCTATATAGACTAGATTACATTTGATATTCGTGTATATTTGTGGTTAGTTTGTTTTTAAAATTTAACGTGTGTAGTAGTGAGATTTTTTCGTTTAACAATAGCAGGATATTCATATCGTGAGCAGGCAGATATAATTTTTTACTTATGGCCGCGCGAATGGTAATAGACGCGAGGCTGCACGGCTGTATCAGATTGCGTTTCCTGACCGAAGGCATCTAAGTCATAGAACTTTTTCTGCTGTTTATAGTCGAGTTGCTGCGACTGGATCCGTGGTATCACAAACTATGCATCGAGGAAGACCGATATCCTCTCGCACGCCTGACCACAAAGAACAGATTCTACAAACTGTCGGAGATGTTCCATGTATCAGCACACGTTAAGTGGCCCAAGAATATTCTGCATCTCATAGTAAGGTATGGAGGGTAATTCAAGTGCATCTCCTACATCCGTATCATTTGCAACGGGTGCAGGGTCTTTCGCCCTCTGATCACACACCACGGGAGAACTGCTTGCCGATGGTTCATTGCTCAAATTGCCAATCCGTTGTTTGTATCTTCAGTCTTGTTCATAGATGAGGAAGAGATGGAATAACAAATTTACTTAGTCAATATTTATGGGCTGATCGGAATCCCCATGGTACAACACAGGCTAGATACCAGCATCAGTTTATGTGTGGGCTGGAATTGTGGGTGACTTTATTTCGAACACACTTCCAGACCTGCTAGAGGATGTACCCTTGCTATACGAAGACGGATGTAGTTCATGCATAGGGTTCTAGCACATTTTAGTCACATCGCGATGCACTGGCTGATATCTACCATGAAAGGTGGATAGGGAGGGGAGGACCAGTTCCATGGCCTTCACGTTCACCCGACCTCAATCTTTTGCATTTTTATATATGAACCACATAAAACAATTATTTTATGCAGCAGCTATTAATAATGCTGAGATGCTTCACAACGTGTCATGGGGGCCTGCGAAACCATTCACCATCGTGTGGGAGTATTTGAAAGGGTTCGCCAGTCAATGACCCGATGAGTACATACGTGTGTAGTAATAAGCTCATGATATCTTGAACATTTGTTATAAGTTGGTATGTTGAGGTAAAACGATGGCCTTTTGGACATATGTTTATATGGATATTTTAGTTTGTTTTCTTGGCAGAAACCTGCCTCAAATGTTTTATAAAATTATTTTATATATATATATATATATATATATATATATATATATATATATATATATATGTACAGGGTGCATATATTTTTGTGTATTTACTAATATGTCATAATGCTTTTGAAGTTGGGCTAGCAACTCCACCCCATAAAACCTACTTTCTACAGGAAACCACAGAAATAACGTATAGCGTGCTGAGACTGTGAGATTTTATCCTGCACACGATGTGTACTGGAATAGGAATAACAAGAAATACTGATAGAGAAAATAATATTTCGATGCTGTTTCACATGTATGATAACTTCTCACAAGCTGCAGGGAAAAGTTTGGACAATTTCTTTTAAACGTGACGAGTAACACAACAAATATACTATAAATATACATATACTATGCAATATACATACATAATATATATATTCGAAAAAAAAGTATTCGAAAAGTTCGTGAAAAAACATGCTATATTAAGAAATCTGTAAATATTTAAATATATTTTTGCAACAAAGTAAACTTGGGCTTGTGTGTGATAATCTGTTTGAACCGGAAGTATTTATTGAAGCAAGAATCCTGTCAAAAGAAAGGCAGATGACATTATTGATGCTTAGAGAAATGTTTATGGAGTTAATTGCACAAAAGAATCAGCAATTTACAAATGGATAATTCATTTCAAAGAAGGACGAGGCGGAATTTAAGATGAATGAACCGTTGGACAATCACCATCAATGGAACTCATTATAAATCCACCTTACAATTCTGATTGAACAATTTCACTACTTTTTCTTATGTCCCAACCTAAGAAACGTTTGAAGGGTAGCCATTTTGAAAACATTAATGACAAAAAAGGGCTTCTTTGACAAGATTAAATTCTCAGGAGCCCGTGTTCTTCCAGGATGGTATAAATGACTGGTATCATCTCTTAGAGAAATGCCTTATGTGCAGAAATAAAAATCATACTTAAAAATGTTTGCTTTCATTTCCATTTTTCCACGATCTTTTGATGCTCCTTCTATATGTGCATATCTTAATATATGAATATGAATATAAAGTAAGTCTGCATATGTAAAAATGTCCCAATATGTCTGCATAGACGCCTTTGCAGTTTTATTCTCTAAATACACACTCTTTTTAATACCCAAAGTAGAGTTGTAAGAAAATGTATGAAGTTAGGCACAATTATCCTTAGAGAAAATCATTAAAAGAAAAAAAACAAAAAAACAAAAAACCTTCAGTAATTTTTTCCTGTCTTCATATTATAGTCGCTTTTCTTTTACTCAAAACTCGCTTTTTCTATATTCTATCTCTTTTCCTCTTACTTTTCCCACTTTTTGCTGTCGAATTTTTTTCTTTCTTTTTCTTCTGTTAGTCTTTGCCCCACTTGCATTTCTCTCTCCCGTTTTTCCTTCATCAATTTTAACTCTTCTTATTTATTCAGAGTTTCTTATTAATTATCTTACTCTCCTCCTTTTTTCGCAGATTTTGTTATTATTTTTATTCATTTTTACATGGTTTACTTTCAATTTCACTTTTTAATTATCTTATTCTTAATTTGATATTCTTTCTTTCTTTCTTTTTCTCTTTCTTTCTTTCTTTCTTTCTTTCTTTCTTTCTTTCTTTCTTTCTTTCTTCGTTTTTTTTTTCTTCCTCCGATATTTTATTTCATTCCGTTTCGGCTTTCGGCTTTCCGCCTAGTTAACTTTTATACATATTTCTTGTTTTGCCAAACTAATGTGACTAAATTTGATCGATGTGTTTTTCATATATTGAATCTCGCTTTTGCATATCGCCGATTGTCCTGCTCTTTCCTTCATTTCCAGTTTTGATTGATCACCAAAGCTTCTAAAAGAGAGAAGAAGAATTCAGAATGGCCACCTTCTCCTTGTCATATATTTTACCGCAATGCTTGTTACTTATTTCTACCTGTGTTAAAACGATTAAAAGCCAGTCTTTCACACTTCGAAATTGATTAAAAACCAGACACATACACACACAGAAATACATATAAATAAACATATATAATAAAAGTATATGTATGTACATATATAAACAAACATATATAAGTAGATATGTATATATAAATATGTATGTGCGTGTGCGTGTATGTGTGCGTGCGTGCACGTGTATTTGTGATTATAAATAGCTTTAGAAAAGTAAATAATAAAAATTAAAGCAACTGTGATTGACAAAGAAATAAAAATTGTAAGAAATTAAAAAGGGGCGCTTTTTTTGTTATTAAGTATTTTTGAACTATAATGGTATTTAATAATCAAACTTAGGGTTTCATTTTTTTAAGAAAAAATAGAATATCACCAACAGTATAAACAAACAAAAAAAAACATACAAATAAAAACATCGATAAATATGCAAATTATAATCTTCTCTGATTTTTCCGAAGTAGAAATATTCGTTTGAAATTTCCACTTTCTCGTGTAATTGCAGAAGGCTGCATAAAAAAGTACAAATAAAAACTACCCACGCCAAAAGTCTCAAAATAAACACATCAACCTTATAAAAATAAGCAAAAATAAATTTCAAGAAAGCAAACAAAATAAGGCAGCAAAATTTGTTTATTAAATCAATGCATCTGTTTATTTTTTTTAATTTTAAACCTTGTCATGAATTTTGAATTTTTATTTGAATAGCGTATGCGCTAAAGTAACAAAAGAAATATTCACACCTACCAATAAATAAATATGAATAAAGAAGAACGTAATAAATTAGACGAGGAAAATAATGGGCAAAAGAAATAAAAATAAATAGTTGAAAATATATTCTTCCTGTTTCACATTTATGTATGTTAGATGGAGTGAAAGAGTCAATATTTAAAGCCAAAATGGAGTTTTGAAAAATTCGTCTCCGAAGATAACAAATTCATAGAAATACAAATGAAGAATAAGAAACGCCTTTATTTTCATCATTTGTTTCGTCTTTGATTGATTGGTTGTTTAGAATCTCAATTTAATGTTTACTTCATGTTCTTTTGCATCATTGTGTTTTCCAGCAATAAACTTGTGAAAGTCAATCTGAAGAAACTTTCAATACAACAAATATACGAGTGACGAAAAGTTCTCGGCCCGGACAAAAATATGATATTTAGCTATTTGGTCGAATTTTGGGATATAGGTGGGGTGAGAATTTCTCAATACCACTTTCTTATGTCTGACGGTATTTTAATACACGGGAATATAACGGGCAATGATAATTTTGTGCTGAGTAGCGTGCTGGTTTCCCAAGTCATCGAGTGTAAGCTTGATATTCTTCAAGAACTCTAGATGTTGAAATTCAACAGAAAACTGTACATGCATAAGGACGCTTACTGTAGAGTGAAGTTTAGCATTTTATTTTTTAAGGGAATTGAATTCTCATGAGATACGCTATCATTGGGAAGATCTCCTTAATAAGCTTAATAAATATCTACATAGTGTGGCCGATTACTTACTGATCCAGCCTCGTAAATTGGGATTCGTGTTCGAATAAGCATCTCTCACTGGCGTATTTAAACCCCGGTAAAGAGATTTCTCTTAAATTGCCTTACGTTCGCTCTTTTAAAATTTATAAAACCTTTAATCAACTGGCTCGTCTCGTAAGATTACTTCGGAGTTCGATACTACCAGGCGATTAACTGTTGAATGTCAGTGACAAAGTAAGTAAAGCTTAGTTAATATCTGTGATTTCTAATCTTAGTTGCGATCTATAACAAATATGTTTCACAAACTATTGTTCGTAAATACTATTCTGAAGGAATGCCTCACAAGTATGACCTTCGTTCTAACTAAACTTTTCAAAAATCTAAAAGAAAAAATACGAATATATTTATCTTTTCATACTGTCGTCGTTACAAGGTGTAGGGTGAAAGCCAGTTATAGTAAGAGTCTGTTCCTTATTGGTTGGCTTGCCACAATCTCGAAATACATCAGCATTTAGCAAATTCAAAAACTGATTGTGATCTTATACGAGGGTTCTTAATGCGAGCAAGAAACCCTTACAAATCAGATTTGGGTCATTTAGTTAGAATTTTCAGTAGGTCGCACCGACAACTGTTCAGCGCCCCTCTCTCTTCCCATATATATATATATATATATATATATATATATATATATATATATATATATATTCTAGTTGCTTTTATCTAAGGTTGAACGCCGATTATAATCACGTTAAGGGTGAAATTAAATCAATTTATTTAGCATGAGTGACCACGGGTTAGAGAGGTCTGAGGTAGTAGATGTTGAGGACGAGGTGGCGGGATAACAACCACGAAAGGCCTGAGAGGGGCATTGGGAGGTCCCGGGTTCCCAGCTTTGGGGATGGGGACCCCCCCCCCCCAAAAAAAAATAAAAGATGTCAATCAATCTTGTCAATCAATAAAATTAAAATCGTTTATGATCACTCTGTCCGAGAGACCGTGTATGTGGTGTGGAATGCCACGATAGGGAAGGTATCGGAGTTCATTGGTCAACTCTTATTAGAGGACCCCCACCTGATCTGGAAGAAATTGGAGGATTGGATCACACAAGAATTCGAAGGGACAGCTATAGAGGCCGTGAGAGCCCTTCTGAAGTTAACCCGGTTAAAGGACGAGAGCTCCGGAAATTTGGAGACAAGAGTAGAAAAACTGGCTAGTTTGGCTTTCACAGAGGACGTGAGGGCCAATGCTGTGATGCAGGCCCAATTGTCTGATATGTACGTGGAGGTGCTCAGTAAGGAGCGCATACACCATGATGTCCGTAAATCTATTGGCGGCGGTGGTCCTGGCTAGAGAGAGCTAAGGGATTTGGGGAAAAGCCAAGAACAAGAGAGTAGAGGTGCAGGGACCAAGTCGGAGGTAGACAGGCAGAAGGAGGTCGAACTGGAGGAATGGAAAGAGGTTCGTAATAGATGTGGGGGCATGGGTTTTACAAACCCACACCAAGCCAGTTGAGGCAGACATGTCGGACCTGTTGTCATGAGGACAGTGGACGATCCAGCAAGGTGGGGATTACTCCCGGATTGCGACAAGTCAAGATGCATCAGATGCGATCGTTGTGAACATAAGGCGAGGTGGTGTGAGATAAAGAAAGAACCACAGGATTCCCTTGTTACAAGAACTCGCTCCTGGAAAACAGAACCACGGAACATCAAAGAACCGAAGTAAGGTGAGGGTGATCTGGTTAAAGGGAACAGTAATGCGATGCTGGGTACGTAACCAGGTCGGCCATTTAGCTGCCAACTGCCCTGAAAGAAGGTGCTAGTTCTCTAACGAACCAGGACATCTGAAGAGAAATTGTCACCACAGGAGAAAGATTCGATGTTTGGCATGTGGCTGGATGGTCCATTTTGCCGCCAACTGCCATCATAGAAATAGGCAGGGTAAACCTCATGAGAGCTGCCTGGGTGCACCACGGCGTAGAAGACAGCCGTGGACCTTGCACTGCAGCGATGATGAATAGTCGTTGTTGTCAGAACCCATGTCTGGATGCGTACAGCGACATCACCCCAGAGAGAGGGTGCTTTCGTTGCTGATTCAAGAGGTGGAACTTTACAGCGAGGTAAAGTTAATGAAGGCCTTGATAGATACGGGGGCGTTGGTGTCCTTAATAAGAGAGGGACCAGTTCAAAAGCCTGAAGCTGCAGAATGGATTAAATAGGCCCGATATAGATATTGATCAGTTGGACGGGAAGCCAATGAAGATAACAGGAATGGTAAGGCTCCCGTTGAAGGTAGGAGGGACAACTAAGTGTCCTCAAATTCTATGTGGTTCCAGGTGGGGAGATGACCCTCGGTGGAGATTCGTTGCACCAACAGGGGGGCAAAGGTGAAGTTCAACCCCACAGCGCCCCGGATTGGTCAGCATCACTAGTTGTTGACGAGGACATAAAATTACCACCAAGGACAGCTGTATCAGGTAGGCGTAGGATGGTGTCAAGTGAAGGAGTGTTTCAACTGACCCCGGTAGAAGAATATAGCCTCGAAGAAGGCGAAGTAGCCTTGTGCAAGTCCGTGATGGACGTGCCGGAGGTAATACCTATTATGTTGGCTAATCAGGCCAGCAAGACAATTAAGGTAAAGAAGGGGGAAGAGGTAGGAAGGGCATTAAGGTCCATCCAAAGGGTAAAATTCAGTGAAGAAAGAACAAAGTCAAGAAAAGATGGAAGCGATATCCCCCATGAAGAAATCCTTGGTTTTAGCTCGAAACTTCCCCAAAACGGATAGAGCTGAATGATTGAGAAAAGGAGAATGAAATGCCTCTCTCCCAACTCCAAAAGCAGTTGAGAGAAATGAAACACGAGAGACAGAATTAAGCAGCAGTCAGGGGAGAGAGAGATGAATGATGTGAAGAACCCCTTACAGTAAGAGGAGGGGAGAAGTGGACTCAATTAGAGAATGATATTACGGTTTTCTGCTAGAAAGAAAGAAAGAAAGAAAGAAAGAAAGATGTTATACGGAGAAATTTTATAGTTAGGGATGAAAACCAAAAGGGTTATTTTTGGAGAAAGTTAAAATGAAATCAGATTTTAGAAGTCACCTGTTGAAGTTAGAACATTTTTTAGGCATTTTAAAAAGATAGGATGAAGAAAAATAAAAATGAAAGAAGTAAATAGAATATATATATATATATATATATATATATATATATATATATATATATGAAACAGAAAATTGGTCGAAATAAGTTGAACAAAAGACAGTAAGAGAAAATATAAGAGAAAGAGAGA